AAAAAGTTGGAGTAGTGACGCTGAATACCACTAAACTTTTCCAGAGACACACAGGGTATTGCGATATTTTTTAATGGCACATAGGGAATTGTCTCTTGTTTTTCCCAAACAAAATTTTTCCCCCAACGAATTGAGTGAGCTGTATTCGTATCAATTAGAGCAAGTATAATAAACGTTTATCGCTCGCTTACATGTCTATTCAGGAAAAAAAAATTCTGTAGTAACTATATCCCCGATACTTCTGTGTATACATACCCCTAGATGCTTGCCACGTGTACAACCAGATGATCCAACAGCCTACAGTCGTGTGCTCCATCCGAGCGGTGCGAATTTTGGGCGAGGGCCTCCTACGTGCCGCCTCCGTGGGCCACAGGTGCCGGCGCGCTGTTGGATCATCTAGCTGTACAGGTGGCAAGCATCTAGATTATGTATACGCAGGAGTACCGTGGATACAGTTTGCACATTTTTTTCCTCTATCCATGCAAGAACGCCACATGTATCGAGCAGAAGAATACAAATGAAATAGAAAAGGATGACCAAGGTAATAGTCACCGTATTATCAGTCTGTTCGCTCGTTGGTTTCAGTCAAGACTTATCAATCAGCTAACAGTGTTTTTCTTTCACAACAAACCAGCACCAGCCGGGCTTATCAGCCTAAAAACCAACCAGCGAACAGGCCGTATATAAGTGATCACTGATGATGCCTCTACTAATAAATGAGATGGCAACAACATGTGTAGATGACTAGGCTCCGTTCGTTTCTTTTATAATCCGTTTTTTTCAATTTATTTTTTCAGTTGAAATAGTATTTTTCTCTCACAACAAATCAGCCAGAACAGTATTTCGGTTTGTTTTTTCAGCGAAGCGAACGGGTCTATATTACTAGATGTACTCTCGTCCTTATCCAGCTGTAGTTGCTTATTCTTTAGTAGTATAATTGTCTAATTGGGTTGGATTTGGATGATTTCGATCGGTAGATGCTTCAACCTTATGTCCGAACGTGAACAAACTAAAAATGGTTATACTTGTCTAGTTGATGCTTACTCCAATGGGGTATTAGGCCATGTTTAGTTCCATCAAATTCCCAACTTTGACACTATGCAAAAAGAAGATTCCCCGTTACATCAAACTTGCGGTACATGGAATACTAAATGTTGACGAAATCAAAAACTAATTGCATAGTTTGGTTGTACTTTGCGAGACGAACGTTTTGAGCCTAATTAGTCAACGATTAGACAATTATTACCAAATAAAAACAAAACGTCACTGTAGCTACAGTGTAGCTACAGTGAATCGGCCGGCGCCGATTCGGGCAACTAAACACGGCCTTATCTATGGCTATAGCCTATAAGTACATTGTTACCTTTTGGGTGCGTATTTCTGCTGACGAACACGTGCACCTTGTGCACGTTCAGTCCTTGTTCGTCGAGAGATGGAGAATTTTTTACTTGCAGGAGATATAATTCCTATCAAACTCCTTCAATCCCCTCGTGGGCCTGGACGGGAGACCGAATTTTTTATTTTTTGGGTTCTTTTTTTGAAAGTTTTTCACAAATATGCTTCTAGAGGTATTGAAAGGTCCTTATTGGTTTTGGTAATTGAGTGACAACCTAGCTGGACTAATTGTGTTTATGTGAGATACACAGGTGATTAGTCCACAGGTACATGTGTATGAGCAACATATGCCATGGAGGTGAAAATGGCTTGGAGATGTTGCAAAGCTCACACATGTGATGATGAAGGAGCTTATTTCACATGAGACATGACATTGAGTCATGTGATCAAGGTGGAGAAGATCAAGACAAGACTTGGCTTGATGGACCGGTTGCAAGCGTGAAGGGCAAGTCAAAGGCTTTGGAGTGATGGACCGCGTGGCGGTGAAGCTTGAGCAAGACTTGACGCCGATGGACGATAGCAACGGTGAAGAGCAAGTAGAATCAAGATCGATGAACCAATATGATCATGTGATGATATGAAGTGGATCATATCATTGTTGATCGTGTTGGTGCATGTGTTGCATCGACGTTGAAGGAGATGGAATGGAATGCGTAAGGCAAAGGTATAACCTAGGGCATTTCATTTCACCGGTCATAGGTGTGTAGAGAAGTTTATGACCGGGTTTAGGATAGATGGTCGTACTATCAAGAGGAGCAAACTTGTTTGCATATCGGTCATCTAGTGCCACTCGAGTGATCTAACTTTGCATTGTCGCTAGGATCGAGTGGCGTGGCAAGTTGAGTGGCTAACATCCTTTGGGAAATGATTGTAAAAATGCTAACACACATACACATGGTGGTGTACACTTGGTGGTGTTGGCACATTTACAAAGGAGGTGGTGTTTACAAAGGAGGCGGCGCTTTCGGAAAAATAGAATGCCTATTTTCTATTGCGCCGGATGCAAGTTCTTGTGGTTAGCACATTGGAGCAAGCGTGATAAAGTTAGAAGTGAAAACGAGTTAGTCGTGAAGATGCTGGCGTCGGTCAACTGACCGGACGCTGGATCTGAATGCATCGGACGCTGGCAGGCTGCGTCCGGTCAGGCTGACGTACGATGACGCAGAAGCTAGAGTGTGACCGGACGCTGGCTGCGTCCGATCAAGTGTGACCGGACGCGTCCGGTCGAGGTCAGTACCTTACTGGAAACGACCGGACGCTGGGGGTTCAGCATCCGGTCAAGTCAAGTGACCGTTGGAACCGGGACTCGTGGCCGTCTACGGGCGACCGGACGCTGAGGTCCAGCGTCCGGTCAACACGACCGGAGCGTCTGGTCGGCCCGACCGTTGCCCAGTGAAGGGGTAACGGCTAGTTTAGCCCTTGGGGCTATAAATAGAAGTGACCCTCGGCCATGGCTGTAGCTGAGCACCTCAAGGGACTTAGTGTCCATGCTTGTGAGTGCTTGGGAGCCCTCCATCACACATATACTTGATAGTGATCATTCGATTGTGTGAGTGAGCGATTCTAGTACGATTGCATCGTGAGGTTGCATCGAGTGGCACTAGGTGGTCGTGTTGCAAGCCGGTGGTGCTTGTTACTCTTGGAGGTTGCCACCTCCTAGACGGCTTGGTGGTGGTCTCCGTCGAAGCCCGCAAGAAGCTTGTGCGGCGCTCCGGAGAAGTGCTTGTGAGGGGTACTTGTGCTCGCCCCGCAGGAGTCGCGAAGAGCAACTTTAGTAAAGCGTGTCATTGGGCTACCCTCACTCAAGGGGTAGGTTCTTGCGGCGCCCGACGTGCGGGCTTAGCGGGTGATGCTAATTAGCCGTCGAACCACCAAGTGAGCGGTCGACACAACGGGGACTAGCGTGTTGGCAAACACGTGAACCTCGGGAGAAAAATCATCGTGTCAACCTTGTTCTTCCCGTTGGTTTGCATCCCCATTACATAAGCTTGAAATTACTTTTATATATCTTAAGCTTGTGTAGTTGCTCTTGTAATTAGTTAGCTTGTGTAGCTTACTAGTTACCTTCTTGCTTGTGTAGCATAGAAGTAGCTCCCTTGCGTGGCTAATTTGGTTTTAGTAACCTTGTTAGTCACATTGCTTAGTTTGTGTAGCTAAGTATTTGCGCTCTCTAATTAGGCATTGGTTGCCTTGTTATTGAGCTTTGCTAGTGAGCTTAGTTGGCTTTGTGCTTTTGCTTACTAGCATGTGTAGGAGCTCCCTTGTTGCTTAAAGTACTAGTGGCATAGGTTTGTGTAACCTTGCTCCTAGAATTGTTTAGGAGAGCTCTAACTAGCCCGGCACCTTTGTTGCATAATTGTTATCTTTGCAAGGTGCTAGTGAACATATATAGTGGGGTATAGTCTTGGCTAGACCGATAGTTTTAATTCCGCATTTGTTTCGGTTAGCCAACGTGATTAAGTTTTAAAAGGACTATTCACCCCCCCTCTAGTCGCCATCTCGACCCTTCAGGTATGCTTTCAAAATTTAGACCCTAATCTCGGCGCCATCATTGGTTGCGCCGAGATTACACGTCTTGGCGCCAAAGGGTTTGGCGCCTAGGTCGGGGGAGGCCCACGTCGGCATCAAAGTAGAGCAGGGGGTGACATGGCAGCCAGCTCGGCGCCGAGGTTGGCGCCGTAGATCTTGGCGCCGAGCTTGGCGCCAAAGATCATGGCGCTGAGCCAGCCTTACAGGTGGGTCCGTTTCATTTCTCTCCCTTCTCTTCCTTTCTCTCCCACTCTCTCTCTCGCCCGACACCTCCCGCCGCCGCCGCTCGTCCTTGCCGTCCCCCGCCCCGACCACCGGTTTGGTGCCCCGTCCAGCAGAAGCGGGTGCGGTGCGCCCGCTCCCCATCCTCAGCACCACACGCCGACCGACAGCCGTGCCGCCTCGCATGCTGTTGTGTGTGCCCCCCCCCCGGCGTCCCCATGCGCGCCCGCTTCGCGTCGGCCGGCCTCTAACGCGGTCACCAGCGCCTCGCCCGCCAGCAACCGCGCGCCCACCCGTCACATCCGTGCCCGCCAAGGCCGTCGTCATGCCCACGCCCGTCCCATGTGCCGACGAACGAACGCTGCCATCATCCCATGGCCAAGCCTTGTTGAGAAACCCATTCAGCAGCTGCAGCTGCCACAGCCGGCCGGGAGTGCCCGGCCGTTCCCATCCCCACCCTGCGCGTCGAGCCACACTACACCACAACACCAAGATTAGCGATGGACGGTCTGACGCTAAAAGCGACTACAGCGATAGACAATCTGACGCTAAAAAGTTATAGCGACAGACTTCTGCAGACACTGTAAGCCCTGTTGCTAAAAATCTTTAGCGTCAGACAGTTCATTGCCCTGATTTTTTTAGCGACAGATAGTCTATTGCTACCTTTTGGTGACATATGCTCTGTTACAAGACATACCGATAGATCATCCAACAGTTCATGTATTTATAGCGACAGATTGTTCTACAGGACAATATAAATATATATATAAAAATACAATGAGAAAATATGTAGCACATATCATACCCAGATTCAAGCTTAAGGTCCATCACATAAACATATAAAAACACATACATCACATGGAGATCAATACATATATAACATACAATCTTGTCTTGCATAGTACATCATCCAACAAGGTCTTGCACAATACATCATTTGGATCTGATACACTTGTAGAACTAGTAATCAGACTAGATACAGGATGGCAGTCGAAGGTACCAGAACAGCTTGGGCATGATAAACGCAATGGCTCACAACCACGATATCTGTCATTAAAACACAAGAATATTTGAATAACTGAAATACCGCAACATTAACGAAATTGATATGTTAGAGGTTTACCTCTCATCTTCATCATCGATTACAGATAACAGCATCATAGATGTATCTTGATTGCTAGACTCAGTCACTCTTGATTGGAACTGATCCAGGTAATAAGAATCAGCAAACTCTATATTGAAAGAAATGATGCCAATCATTTAAGATATCGAAGACTCAACATAAAATACGCACCTTAGCCGAATCAAGTCCCAGACATTCAGCCAGACGAGCTGGACTAGTACCCTGAATGGAAGCACATAGACGAGAAACAACAGGATGAATCTGCAAAGGTAATTTAGAATCAGCAACACTGTATATACTATAGCATATGGAAAGACAACTGTATTTTTCCAAGAAGGGAAAATGTATTGCAATGGTGAAGAACCTGTTGTGACAAACAATAGTCAATGTCAATCATCCACTTGTCAGGGTCTCTTTTTAACTCCTCAGGATGTCTAGCTCTCTGAGCTATTCCCACAGAATGTGTATTATCTGAGACCTATACAGAATGGTAAGTACAGTTTAGGATCAGATAAATTAAACTTCAAACAAAGCTAAACTGGGATGTTTTACAGGCAAAAAATTATATATTTTCCTTTTTCCTGAAATTACACTGCAGGTAAACAAAAAGTTCTGACAACTCCCTCCGTTTATCCATATTCTTATCTTGTGAAGAAATGTTTCAAAATGTTAGTTCAGCAATAAAATCAAGATTGTGAGTGGTTGTAAAATGTGAATATCATTAGAGATATGTGTTGGTCTCTTTTTATAACTTTGATGAGATTTAGTGCTTTCTGGTCTGTATACATGATGAGCTTAGCCTTGGAGGCTTGGACAGATTGTGAAACAAGAGTACCAATCAGTGTCATATGACAGGTTGACAATCCAAAATTTTGCAATGTGGATAAGCAATTGATGATTTAGTGAGCATGCAAAACATAAAAGACATCATTTAGTAATACCTGCTGAGAGCAAATTATATAAGGGACTGTGTCACCAGCTGAGCAACCAGAGTAACCATTTTGCTTGAGTCTCAAAGCAACCTGAGGAACCAAGTTTACACATTTATTAGCTCATCACTTTTCTGGCTTGAAATCAGGACAAAACAAAACATGGATATGCAACTCTTACCTGAACATGAGGCTGATTTTTAGCATCTGGATACTCTTCTGGCGCTTTTGTTAAGCTCTTTGTGATAACATATTTTTCGAAGACCTTAATTTGAGTGAGTCTTAACTTCCTACCCATTTTGTTTTAATAAGAGCTGGATTGCATTGAATGGACTACAGTCTTTCAGATTTAATTGCGGCTATGTCACTTACTATTGTTGTGGTTTTCAACAAATAGGTGGAACGAAGAAGCTGCTAAACAGATTGGGGACTGCTACTGGTATTTAATTTTTCATATTTCCAAGACTCTCGAAGAATTTGTGTCAAAGGATGGTGCTTCACCCGTGGCAATTGACTGTTTCAAGGAAACTGTAAGTACAAAGTTCATGACATACTAGAAACTAAGCGCGGCGTTGCCACACGCTTGTCTGTGTTGGGCCAGCCCGCATGCGTGAGTGAGTTTATACCGAGACATTCAGTGTGGGATCAGCCCATTTGCTTGCATTACATCTTGATAGAAATGATTGTATACACATTGATGTAAATAATGTGTATAAGATGGTTCTATTTGTAGAAGAAATATAATCATGACAACTCTAAGTACATGGCACTAAAGTTGAGAATGCAGTTGCTTAACTTGTTGCATAGATAGTGAAGCATATTGATTTATGTAAAAGATACAGATATTGTTGGAGTAAGGAAAAACTAAAGCAATGATTCGAGGTGTGTCTATAACTGAGAAGAAGAAGGCGTGTCTATAACTAAGAAGAGAAGAATAAACGGAGTTTTCTTATGTAAAGGTATTGTACCGCTCTTTTTTGGGATTGCAAGTGCACTTGCTTGCTCACCAGCAAGGACAACCATAAAAAAATAGGGCTGATGCGCCTAATACCGAAATTTCAGATTTGCCAACATCCATCCTTGCTAGGGTGCATCACCGCTGACAACCTGAGGCTGTAAAACAATCTTCTCATATGTAAGGTGGACCTTAAGGTGGTAACAGAATCTTATATCACCTATAAGCAAAAACAAAGGAAATTATATTGGTGAGGTATTATTGATCACATTTGGACCGGTAGTGGGAAGAATAACTTGAGAAGAATATTATGAAATTCCATTATTGAAACTGGTCATGTTTTGCTAGGCTCATGTAAAATTATTTTTATGTATTTAAAAGGTTAAGATCCATGCTTAGTAAAAGCAAGAAAAATTTGGTACAGGACATGTAAAATGACGTCGAGTTAGTGGTGAATACAACAAAACACTCTGGCATCAAGGTAAGGGCGCGTTTGTTTCTGGACGTGCTTTGCCTTGCTTTGCTGACACGGGAAACGATAACCTTGCCCAGGCAAGCAAATTCATTGCCTTAATTTCAGTCCGTAAATGCTAAATGTTTTGCCACCTAACCTCATTTGGTCAGCACAAGTTAAGATCCTGGCAATAAACATAATAACATTGCACGTAACAGTGCTGCCAAGGAATGTCTTCCAATATATCCTAACCATTTGAGTAGCAATTGCAAGACCATTAGATCATGCTTGAATAAAACTATGTTTATGTGCATTAGAGAAAAATAGCAGTATTCTTTTAACATAAGGGAGAGAGGGAGCGAGCAAGAGAGACACACTTTACAAAGGCAAAGGCAAGAAATCATTACCTTTCATAGATGATGAGAACATGTGTATAACATGTGGCATACTGACATGTGATGGGAATTGCAGTGGTTGTAACATATACACATCTAGGTTTCATCAGATGTTCAGGATTACAATGGTAAGCCGCTGTCAGCATTGAAGACGTTGCTCGTACTCTAAAAAGTAATAGTTCCTTCAGGTAACATCAATCTTAACACTATAACTGAAAAGCATTACAAACAATAGACAGTAGTGCACCTTAGACTTGTTGTAGATTAATTTGTTTTTACTGTTAAGTTTTAAGACATGTTTTGCTCTGAGATGCCTATAATCAGATGAAAATGCACAAAGATCACACCTTTTATTATTTTATAGGAACAATGATGCTTGTTCATCACATCCACTACTGAAATCTGATTTGGGGATTAAAAATATAAGGAAATAGAAAGAATCCAAATAGCTAAAGATACCTTCTGACCCAAGTCTGCACGCTCAAGCTTTGACAGTGACAGTCCAATTCCACGAACTTCCTTCACGTCTGGAATGTGAGATTAAAAGCATGTTTCAGTGCATTTGAGAAAAATAGCAGTATTGTCTTAACATGAGAGAAAGAGGGAGGGAGGGAGAGAGCGATTTAAAATTTATAATATAGGGTACTTCACACTTTGCAATGGTAAAGTTGAGAAATTATTAGCTTTCATTGATGATGAGAACGTTTATAACATGTGACGTACTGACATGTGATGGGACTTGCAGTGGTTCTAACATATAGGTATCAAGGTTTCATCAAATGTTCAGGAATCAAATGCTAAGTCGTTGTTAGCATCGAAAACGTCACTCTTACTCTAAAAAGTAACAGTTCCTTCAGGTAGCATTAGGCTTAATAGTGTAACTGAAAAAGCATCTACAAACAATAGGCAGTAGTGCACATAATATGGTGTGAACACACCATAACGTCATTATTTTGTATACCTGGCTGGATTGCCTTGCAATATATTATCAGTGTAGCTATGGTATGATGAAAATAAATTAAAATTATATTTTACTATTGGCTGTGATTTGAGTGCGTGCTATGATTACCAGAGTTTAGGTTGACAGATGATGCTCCATGTTGAAACAGCTTGGTCCTATATGTGGCCACTCTGAACTCCTTCCGTGGTGTAGAGTCTGCAAGTCAAATTGATTGGTAGCATTTCCTGCAGCACGAAGGAAAACCAATGGATATTTATGTACATGCATACTGAAGCGGGAAAGATAGCACCTGATGAGGTATACATAAGTAGCACAAAGGAATAGTTAGGTGACTGCAAGGCGCCGACCTGACGAAAAAATAGCAAGAAGAGCCCTTTTGGGCATTTCATCGAGCACTTGAAGGGCACAGAACACCAAAAGCAAAGGAAGCATCAGATGGGGAGCTCACGGGGCACAGAGATGAAGGAGAAACAATCGAAGACACACCACAGAGGAAATGGTAGTGTACCTCGCTGTGGATGGTAGATCAGGGCACGGGTGTCATCCGCGCCACGTGGGGAGGTGCGACGGCGAGTCAGGCATGGGAGCGGCCCTGGGGTGGACACGATGGCGAGCGGAGGCATTGCGGGAGGGGCGATGGAGAGGCAGAGGGGACGGCGGAGGCAGAGGGAGGCATGAGGGAGAGAGGCAGGGAGAAGCTCGCTGCGCCTGCTGCGGCGGCGGAGGAAGGGTAGCGCGGCGTCGCAGCGTGCGTCCGAGCGGCCCTGTTTTGCCGTGGCAGCGTGGGGGCTAGGGTAGATGAGGCTGAGACGATGGAGCTATAGCGCTAGGTCAGGGGGCACCAGCCGGGGGCCGCAGCCGCCGTGTCCGTGCCTACCAGGACCCGCTGGTGAGGGAGAGGGGGGCCGACCATCACCAGGGGCCGGCCGTGCTCGACGCCCCTCCTCAGTGTCGTCAGGGAGCCCCAGCATGACGCCCCAGATGCGGAGGAGCACGAGGGGGAGAGGAGGTCACCATCGGTGAGGGGAGGAGAGCTCGACGCCGTTGGTGAGGGCGAGGGGGAAGATCCGGCGAGATTTGGGGCTGGCCGGGCGGGCGCCATTTGAGAGAGGGAGAGGGCGGCGGCGCGCGAGCAGGTTGGGCGCTTCTGGATTTGGGATTTGGGCTAGGGTTTCTGTACTCGTGGGCCAGGCCAATATTTGCCCGGGAGATGAATGTAAATGGGCGCGCGAGCTGAATATGCGTGCGAGGGTGGGGCCCATTTATTTTTGGCGACAGACAGATTGACAGTATACTTCATTTTAGCGTCGGACAGTTAAACGTTAAATATGAGTACCTATGGCGATAGACACCAAACCGCTAAATCAGGATTTAGTGTCAGATTGTCTGTGAATTATCTTTAGCGTCAGATCATCCATCGATAAAAAAAAGTTTTAGCATCAGATGTCTGACGGTGATATGGTGTTGTGGTGTAGTGCCACGAAGCGCCGTGCCCCACCCACGACTGCTACGCCGCCCTACCCGTCGTCGAACCCAGACGAGAGCGACCGCGTCGGCCCCTGCTGCGTCGCCCTCCCTTGCCCGCTCCACAAGGGCAGTGGGGGCCGTAGGCCTATAGCGGGGTGCCGTTTGCCGGCCTCCTGTGGCCACCCGCCCTCGCCCGCTTGGCCACTCCAGTTGCCGGTCGGGTGCACGTGTGGGCGCACGACAGCTTCTCCACCAACCGTCTTTGCCTCTTATCGACCGGCTGCGCCTCCCCTGCACTCGAGGTACATTAGTTTTTAAATTTTATTATTTAACGGTGGTTATTAGTTGGTTAGTGTGGTAGTGATTTAGATAGGTAGAAAGATATTTAGATTGATAGGTTGATTGATGGATACTTTACATAGTTAGATATATAGTAAGTTACATAGTTATATAGTTAGTAAGATAGTTAGTTAAATAGTTATATACTTAGTTACATAGTTAGTTAGATAGTTACTTGACATAGTTAGTTAGTAGTACTTAGTAGTTAGTAGTGAATTGATAGTATCTATTTAGTTAGTTATTACATACTAGAGACCTTGTACTTAGTATGCTTCATTTATATTGGACTAAAGGAATTATGTGTCCTTATGTGTATGAACTAGATGGACAATCTAGTGAGTATATATCATGGAGGCACCGTGGAAAGAGATTGCTATGGATATGTTGAGTTTGTTGAGATGCAAAGCATGCCTGTGTTATTCAATGAGAAGCCTTCATTTAGTGAGTTGGTTGCAAGGGCTCAGGAGGAGCTACATTGCCATAGAGCTGATGATGATGGTGGCATCGCAGTGGTGGGTGTACTTCACCTAGGTTCCCCTCCCAACATCCTAAGGAAGATGATCCCAATTAGGTGTGCAGACCAGTGGGAGAACTATGTGAGATTGGCTATGAAGTGCTAGTTCCAAAGTTTGGACGTAGTTGTGCGTCGAGTGTTAGTTGATCCCATCCCTCATGAGTTTTCCTCACCAATAGGTCAGTAGGCACACTTTGACCCTCCCATCCCGAA